TTTCTTTTCTTTTTTTTTTTTGAGTTGGAGTCTCATTCTGTTGCCCAGACTGGAGTGCAATGGCCGCTCCCGGCCACTGCAGCCTCGACCTGCTGGGCTCCGGCAATCCTTCCACCTCAGCCTTCCATGTAGCTGGAACTACAGGCACACGCTACCACACCCGGCTAATTTTTTTATTTATTGTAGAGATGAGGCCTTACCACGTTGCCCAGGCGGGTCTCGAACCCACGGGCTCAGGCAATCCACTCACCTCAGTCTCCCAAAGCGTGGGATTACAGGCTGAGCCGCCGAGCCCGGCTTTCTCCCTCTTTCTAATGCCAACCAAACCATAAAGGATCCAGGACTGCAAACTATAACCCAGCAATCAAGACCAAAGTGTTCCTCAGCTCTCATGTCCTATGCCAGCAGTAGAGAAAGTTCAGCTAAAAGGTAAGGACACCAACTCTAGGCCAGAAAGTGATAGTTAAGTATATTCCAGGTTCATGTCACCAACAAGATGGAAACCATTTCACCTCCTCTGATGAAGCCAATCCAGGATGGCCATATCCCAGGCCTGCCCCTTTCTTCCAGCCAGTGGCCTGTTGGACACAGCCTCCTTTGCTGCTAGTGTCGATATCGTCTTTATCAACAGGTTTACGATCACTGCAAAAGAAGTAGATACTTTCAAGGTGACTAGCTTGTTATTCTAATAAAAAAAATCTCCTATAAAGCATATTAACCAATACCTCTGAGTGCCTGCTATCTATATGCTAGACTCTGTCCTGGAAGTACAAAGGTTACCAAGGTTTGGCCCTGTTCATGAGGAAGAACTTCTGAATTATGTCAAAAGATGCTTACAAAACACAGAAGAGCTCAACCACAGATGTAGCAACATAGATATTTGCTACAGAAATAAAACAGAAAGAACTCTGAAGGGACAACACTGAAAATGACAGGAATTTCAATAGGAAGGTACATCTGAATTGGCTCTTGAACAAATGAGGAGCTAGAAAAAGTGTGGAAGAAAAAGGATGACACAAGCCAGGAGAAGTGAAAGAACACAAATTGTCCAGAGAGGAGTGACAGAAATTGACGAAGGTGAGGCACTTGGGGCCAGAGTGTAAAAAGTCTTAAAATATGAACTAAAACATGTCTCTGAACTACATCCTTCAGGTAAAGGAACTTTGGAACCCAGGCTTTCCCCTAGGCAAGTTATATGTTTGTAAAAAAAAATATGTTACAAGAGCAGATTTCTGTTTACAAAGGTCATTTTGGAGTTAGAATGGAGAATAGACTGAAAAATGGAGCAAAGATTGGGAGCAGGGGTCCAGTGTGGAGGTGAGCTAGAATGGGGGTTTAAATGTGTCCACTGAAATTCACTTGATAGAAACTCAATCTCCATTGCCAACAGTGTTGAGAGGTGGGACCTTTAGGAAGTGATTAGGTTATGAGAGCTCTGTCTTCATAAATGGATTAACGCCATTATTGTGGGGATGGGTTAGTTATTATGACAGTGGGTTCCTGAAAAAAAGATGAGTCTAGCTCCCTTCCTCCTATCACCTTCCCTCACTTAAGCTCTCTTAGCCAGCTGGGTGTGGTGGCTCATGCCTGTAATCCCAGCACTTTGGGAGGTGGAGGCAAGAGGACTGCTTGAGTCCAGGGGTTCGAGACCAGCCTAGGCAACTTGGCAAGACCTCACCTCTAAAATAAATTTTAAAAATAGTTGGTGGCATGCGCCTGTGGTTCCAGTTACTTGGAAGGCTGAAGTGGCAGGATCGCCTGAGCCCAGCAGGTCAAGGCTGCGGTGGCCATGAGTGTGCCGCTGTACTCCAGCCTGGGTGACAGAGTGAGCCTCTGACTTAAAAAACAAAAAAAATCTCTCGCCCTTCTAGTTTCCATTGTGAGATGATACAAGAAGGCCCTCACCAGATACAGGCCCTCAATCTTAGACTTCCTAGCCTTCATGATCATGAGCCAAATAAATTTCTGTTCATAATTAATTACCCAGTCTGTGGTATTGTTATAGTATCACAAAACAGACTACGACACAAGGCAAGACTTAATTAGGGATTTGGCCACTAACTGGATATAGGGAATAAGGGGCTGAGTCAAAACAAGTAGACAGTGATGCTATAATGTCACTACTCTGAGATAGGAATATAGGAGGTTAAGCAGGACTGGACTAGAGTATAATTTGTAATGTAATAATGAGTAACTGTTCAGTATGAAGAGCCTGAGAAGTGTCTAAGAGGACAAACAGAAATACCGATTCTGAGTTCAGAAAGCAGAACTGAGTTTGGGGTGGAGCCACAGGACTTGTCAGACTGTTGGTGGTGGCTTAGGCCTGGATATCTTAGAAAGCCCAGGTCAACAGGATAGAGCAGCAAGAATAAAGGAGCACTGAAAGGAGAGTCCTGGAGAATACCTGGACTTGCCCAGAAAAGGAAGAGGAGCAGGAAAGACAACTGAGAAGGATAGCCAGGACAATGTGGAATGAAGGGTGCTGAGAATAGAGAAGAGTCTCCTGCACCCAGCCTATGTTCTGTCCCAACTGACTCAGGGCTAAAAGGTCCTTCCTCCTCATGGCTGACTCCTTTGTCATTGTCTTAGTCCACTGTATTTCAAATTGTAGAGAATGAGCCAGTGGATGTCACATGGATGAAATGCTCCCCCACAATGCTTATCAAAAATGAAAAGAGGTGGAAAAGTATTGTACATAAAAACATCTTTTTTCAGATACACACACACACACACTTAATTATTGGGTCATGACACAAAAATATACCTCTTATTGTGGGTTATGATTAAAAAAAAAAAACTGGAATGACAGAGCCCCAGACTCTGTCCAGCCTCCCAAGGAGCCTTGCTCTGTCAATCATCTCCCTTTTCTTACATATATACCCTCCTCTGACTATGGTTCTTTTGCTTACCGATACAGAGACCTGCTCAACTCTCTCTTGTTATAAACAACTATACCTCTTCTGATCATGCATCCTCTTGTGACCCTTTTTTCCTTTTCTTTTCAAGGTCTTTTCTGCCCTATCTTCTCCCAACTACCTAATAGAAATCTGAGCATCATTAGTGACGTTTCCCTCTTCCCAGGCAACCAATCACAAAGACTTGTGGATCTGACACATTTCTCTAACCTATACTCCTTTTTGTACTCATACTCATGGCTTTCTCTCAGGCAATCATCATCTCTCACTTGAATTATAGCAGAATCTGCATCTACAAATTCATTTTCCACACAATTAGTAATCTCTCCAAAATGCAAAGCTATGTCAGTACAGCTTAAAATCATTCCATGACCTCCCACTGTCTTTTAGACAAAGCCTTAGCATGGTGTTTGACATGTATGGATTTCAAGAACTGGCTCCCATCTGTTGGGCCAGCCTTCTTATCACTTGTCACTCAACAATGTAGCACCAATGTTCACCACTATGAAACTACGTGCAACACCTCAGACACATCATGAGCTGGCTTTCTTTTATCCCTGGTATACACAGTTTCCTCTGAATGAAATGCCCTCCACTTCCCTAATGATTTCTGAACTTGCCTATAAGACACACCATCACACCACCTGAGTATTTCTTGCACTTAGTGCAGTACCAGTACACAATGGGTAAGTTACCAACAAATTCTATATAACTCTGGGTTTATGACTTGAAAACTGTAAGTGGAAACAAGTATAGGAAGCTAAAGATTATATCTCCATCAGCAGTCAACCATTTATTTAGCATTTATGCGTGAGAAGGGAGTTTCCCTAGAGAAAAAGTCTAAGAATATGAATGTGTGACATCTTTATCAGGCTCATAAGGAGGGTGCAACATTACTGATAGAGAAAAGGTTCCTGACCACAGTCACTGCAGCCCTGGCTTTGGCTGAAGCAGTCAGCCAACCTTCCATGTAACTGCACATTTCCTGTATAAAGACAGATGGTAAATAAAAAAAATAAAATAAAAATGAAAAAAGACGACAGATGGTCAAAAGGCCAAGGTAGACCTCATGTTCAAAGAGTTCAGACAATCTACTCCTGATAACTTCACCTCCCTAAGAAAAAAACAGCAGCACAGTTGGAAAAGGAGATGGTTTTATCATTAGGTCTTGATGCTGAATGATGGGTTCCTGGCTTACCTGTCAATTTCCCTGGAGTATTTAAATCGTTTCCTTTCTGGAGAGTCAAAAGACTGTAGCTTTTCCCTGCGATCATTTCCTCTTTCTTTAAATCTTCCCTGTTTGTAAACAAAAGAGCAGATTTGAGATTTCTACCGGAGGTTACTGTGGAGTGAGGAAGCTTTATCCCATTCCTGATATTTCTTTTAAAGTGAAAGTAGCTCAATTGATAATTCCTGTAATCTCTTACTCCTTCACACATTCTTCTCTGACTGAAAAACAGAAATAATAAGCTGGCATGCTTGGCTCAGTCCTCTTTTCCCCTTCTGAGAAGCAGGTGACCTCCAATAGGTCTCTATAGGTGAATTATTTATTTATTTATTATTATTATTTTGAGTTGGAGTCTCACTCTTGCCATCCAGGCTGGAGTGCAGTAGCATGCTCACAGCCACTGCAGCTGCGACCTGCTGGGCTCAGGTGATCCTTTCACCTCAGCCTTCCAAGAAGTTAGACTACAGATGCACACCACCACACCCGGCTGGTTTTTGTGATTAATTGTAGAGATGTGATCTCCTCAAGTTGCCCAGGCTGGACTCAAACCCCCAGGCTCAGGCAATCCTCTTGCCTCGGCCTCCCAAAGTGCTGGGATTACAAGCTAAACCTCTGTGCTCGGCCATTTTTTTTAAAATTAAAAGATGAGTCTCACTCTGTCACCCAGACTGGAGTACAGTGGTGTGATCATAGCTCATTGCAACCTTGAACTCCTGGGCTCAAGCAACCCTCCTACCTCAGCCTCACAAGTAGCTAATGTGTAATAGAGCCACTGTGCCTGGCTCTCCAGAGGTAATTTTTTTTTTGAGTCAGAGTCTCACTCTGTCACCCAGGCTGGAGTGCAGTGGCACTCTCATGGCCACTGCAGCTTTGATCTCCAGGGCTCAGGTGATCCTTCCACCTCAGTCTTCCAAGTAGCTGGAATTACAGGCACACGCCGTAATACCTAGCTAATTTTTAAATTTATTGTAGAGATGAGGTCTCACCAAATGCCTAGGCTGGTCTCGAACCTGTGGGCTCAGGCAATCCTCTCACCTCGGCCTCCCAAAGTACTGGGATTACAGGCTTGAGCCACCACGCCCGGCTTGAGGTAGATTCCTAACCAACATGTAAAAGTAGCCAGTGAAGTCCGTGACAGGGTAGGTAAGTCATCCTAATTGTGTGGTTGAGTCCATTTGGCTCTCACACTAAGCTACTTCCTCTAGCTAAGCCTTTAACAGTAAACGATGCTATTTCAAAAGCCCTATTCAACACTCCCTCATTTTCTCAACTGATTTAAAAGCTGAGCAGGAAAGAAGAGTGGTATTGATTTGACCTACCAGGAGACACTAACACCACCTTTTGAAAATACATCAACTTTATTGAGGTATAACTTATAAACAATAAAAAGTACCCATTCTGATGCAGGATTTGATAAGTTTTGACAAATGTATATACACCATCTTTTGAGGCCTCTTCATTCTCTGTAAAGAGTAATCAGTACAGTCTATAGAGTACACCAGAAAGCACAAAGAGTTGAGGTCAAGAGAGTAATAGGTTGCCAGTTTACCTCCCGTTCTCTCCTTTCCAGATAGGCTAGTTCCTGCTCAGATTGTTTTATCTTCCGATGGATTTCCAGGTTTTGCTGAGGAGAGAGGGAGTTCTGTGAGAACAGGTTCAAGAAACAGAAATGTCTGTAGGCTTTTCCCAATAGCTACTTCAGGATTGTAGCACTTTTGATTGTCACACTGTCCCTAAATGATCACTTAACTCTGCAAGCAACAATCCCTAAATGGTCTTGCCTTAGTCTCATCAGTGGGAACCCAGATTTCAATTCTAAAGGCTTGTCACACAGATTAGTTACGTAGTGTGGCACAAGAGGGAACGTCATTCCACTTATCTCTAAGATGTGAAATACAAAAAAACTGGCTTATTTATTTTTTTCTCTTTTAATTTTTTTTATTTTAAAAATGTGGCGTACAATTCAGGGTTAGGTATACACATGTTCATTATGCAGGTACCCTTGATGAGGTGTGCCCCCGCAGATTCCCACTCCTGCCAATCCTGCCTCCCCCCTCCCCCAGTTTCCTGCTACCGCCAATCCTTTTCTTATTATTTCCTTACCTAAGGTGAAAATAATAGGAGAGGTTCTGAGCACACCAGTGAAGAAACCAAATGCCCACACTCTGCCTACTACCATCACTTTCTACCATCCCCTAACACTAGCCCCCAGAGAAACATGAAAAGGACTCCCAGGGTTTTTAAAGAACCACAAGACTGAGAGTCCCGCACTCCTCATGCATGGTTCCACTACACAAGCCCTCAGGCATGTAAATTAAACTTAAGGAGTCCAAAGCAGATCTTATATGGAGAGGTGGCTCTTTATAGCAGATGAGCCTAAGAAAAGGAAAAATGCTATAGTCTACTTTCCAGTGTCCTAGGGCCAATTTAGTCTGTGGATTCACCAGACCCGGAGCTCTTCTTTCTTGACAATTGCTTTTTAATCTCTTTAGCCACTTATGAGTATTTATACCAGTGAGCTGAAAATCAAATGTGTCAGCCTGATGATTCAGAATTTCAGGTCAAAGGGACCTGAGAGAGTCTGTTCTAGGGATGGTCAGGAGGAGCTTTTCAGAGTCCTAGAAGCTTTGCAGAAACTTCACAGAGATGGCTGGGAAAAGTAGTATATTTATTACCAAAAACCGAGTCTTATTTAGCTAAAATAAGACTTTGGGTTCTACTAGAGGAGTGTAAAACCAATTACCCTGAGCATATGAGTCTATCTAGGAGCTTTATCTGTCTATAATTTGACTCCCTGGGCAATGTGGATAATGGGAAGACTGCAGGGGAAGATCAGTATATGTCAGTATAACACCCCAGGACTAGCTATTATGCTGTGGTTTTTAGCAATACTCACTACATGAGGAGATGGCATAATATGACTTACCTATGGCAAAAACTGTACACTGTCAGAGCTGGATAGAACCAGATAAAGCTATCAAGTACCAAAAAGGGGGAGGGGTTTATCTGAGGTCCAATTGTTAGGCTAATGGTAGAGCTAAGATGTGAAACCCAGATAGTAAGCTTCCTACTCCACAGCACTTTCATTTTCTGCACATCCACTATATCTGGTACCCTACCCACAGCCATGCTGCTTGCCTTGAGTCTATACAATGAAGTTCTTGAAGGTGGCATAATCTTAATTCAGAGCAATTAATTCTTGAATTAGGCTGAATTAATGATAGGAACTGGGGCTGATATATGGTGAGGAAGAATAGTGTTTCTTTATTCTCACTGATGCAAAGAGTCAGCGGTCAGAAAGGTCATAGCTCCTTCCCCAAATACCTTGTGCAGGTCTGACAGCTGCTGGTGTTTGATCAAAACTTCTTTATTGGGAAACTGCCTTCTGCAGAGCAGACAAGCTAGTTTATTCCAGTCCGTGAGTTTGTCTTCTTCATTTTCTTTCTTGGTCAGCTCCTCTCGCTGCTGGGGTTGTGCTGTGCGGGGTTGCTGGGGAGGGGTCTGTTCCTCTTCCTCTTCATCCTCATAGTCACTGTCTCCTCCATATTCACCCAGAAGTCCAATCAGTGGGTTCACCACCTTGGGCTGGAAGGAGAAGGATAGGGATTAAGACCAAATTCAACTTATACTTTGGGGCCTAATTTTTGGATATTCTGATAACGGGTATCTCATATTTTCGTTCTTTTCTAGCTAGAATAATGAAAAAGTTCAAAACAGGCCCACTGATCATGCTGTTCATTTCCCAATGAAAGCAAAATGGTTAGAGCTTGGCTTTGCTCCTTGCTAACTGAGATAAATCAGAGAGGTTTCCTTAGAAATGATTCTAGTAATATAACGTGAGGAGAAGAGAAAGGGGAACAGGTACAGAAAATAAAAAATGAGTTAAAAAATTACAAGGTACAAAGAGATAAACACCTTTAAGGTACTGAAACCCATGGAGGAAAGAAAAGGCAAATTTCATCAAGGCTATATAGCAAAGGGGATTTAGGAGGTAAACTAACAGCAACTGTACTGATAAGCAGTTAGGTACACAGATCCAGCACCAGTTCCTGAGCAAGATAGAGAAAAGGCATTGTTACGATAGATGCTATAATAAGCTCAATTAATAATGTGGAGCAGGACAAAGAGTGTACCTTCTAGGACCTATTAAATAATGATATATAATGATCGTTCTCTGATCAAACAAAGTAAAAAGTATGGTCATTATTGTTATATATTTGTATTTAATCAGAATCACCAGTGATTAAATCGAGACTATAACTCAAAGGCACCTAAAAAATGGGTACCAATATTAGCATCATTCACTCTGGCCAGGAAGACATAATAAAAATGACCACACATGCATTCCATACCTAAGAGATTCTTTGTGGCACCAAAAGGCAGGAAATACAGAGGCTAGAAAAATGGGTTTTCTTGGTGCTTTAGTGAAGAACTGACAAGAACAAGATTATGAAGAGGGCTAGGCATCTCCTGATCTGGTGGGAATAGCACAGGGTAAAAAGAAAGAGGACAGATAACTGTTGCCTCTGATTCTCCAGTAATACCCCTAATTAGCAGACAAAAAAATTTATCTCAGGCTTGTATTCAAGAGGAATCCTTATTTGGGAGACAGCTAAAAGATCAACACCAGAGGGAGGCATGAGCCTTTGAACTTTCTTTCACATCCAGAATCAGTCTCAGCCCTAGCCCAGGGGATCAGTGTTAGTCTTACTGGAGGGGGACTCTCTTCCTTCTTCATGGTAGGAGGCAGGGGCTTCTTAAAGACGTCCTCTGGGGGGACCTTCCCTTCATTGGCATTTTCCTGAAACTGAACAAACCCAGAGGTAATTCTCACATGATACTCACTTATAAACACTGGGTTAAGGCCGGGCACAGTGGCTTATGGCCATAATCCCAGCACTTTGGGAAACCGAGGTGAGAGGACTGCCTAAGCCCACGGGTTCGAGATCAGCCTGGGCAACATGGTGAGGCCTCATCTCTACAATAAATCAAAAAATTAGCTGGGTGTGGTGGCCCGTGCCTGTAGTTCCAGCTACTTGGAAGGCTGAGGTGGAAGGATCACCTGAGTCCTGCGGTGGCCATCAGCGTGCCACTGCACTCCAGTCTGGGCGACAGAGTGAGACTCCAAATAAAAAAAAATAAACAAACAACAACAAAAAACAAAACACAACAAAAACTGGGTTAACAGTTAACCCTGCTGAAATCAGGCTGATTTTCCAAATTTCCAAATTTGTGAAACATCTGGAATGTTGTCACAGTAAATTATCTTCCTCAAACTTTACTACAATCTTCCTACATAGGCATTAATATTCTCATTTTACAAATGATTGGAAATACAGTTAGAAAGATTAAGTGGCAGAAGCAGAATTGAAATATTAAGCCAGGGCCGGGCTCAATGGCTCAGCCTGTAATTCCAGCACTTTGGCAGGACGAGGTGAGTGGATTGCCTGAGCCCATGGATTCGAGAGTCCCCTGGGCAACTTGGCGAGACCTCGTCTCAACAATAAATCAAAAACTAGCTAGGTGTGGTAGTGTGCGCCTGTAGTTCCGGCTACTTGGAAGGCTAAGGCGGAAAGATCTCAGGAGCCCAGCCGGTAGAGGCTGCGGTGGCCGGGTGCGTGCTACTGCACTCCAGTCTGGGCAACAGAGTGAGACTCCAACTCAAAAAAACAAAACAAAACAAAACAAAATATTAAGCCAGTATGACTCTAAAGTCTAAGTTCTTTTATCTCTCTCTTCACCCTCCCCTCTTTTTTTCTGTATCTCTAGATAAATAACTACAATTATAACAGTATTAGAAGGAGAAAAAGATAAGTTATAAATTAAACCACAAGCAACTTCATCCATTTTCATTAATACATTAATACTAGTATCAGGGTAAATCAATATAACTCTTTAGAAATAATTTGATTTTATATTAGATATAAAAAATTCATCATCTTTGATTCTGAAAGTTTACCATAAGGAACTAATTTAAAAGAAGAAACAAATAAAATGTTAAATGCTATATATTATGAAGTATAAGATTAGAAAGAAGACAAAACGCAGGAGAGATTAACAAGGGCAGTTACAAATTAATAGAGTATTATAGAAACATAGAAAATGCTTATGATAAAATAAAAAATGATAAAACAGTATTCTCGGTTACAATTACAACTAAAAAAATGTATATAGGAGTCAAACACTAAAAAAGGGGAACATGAAAAAGAGAAAAAGTATGGAACTGAGGCATGGGGATTTGAACTCAGTCACTGTGTTCTACTATCCATAGATATTCCATTTGTAAGAAGGCAAAGGGACTACCTATACCAGGTAATTACAATATTTTAAAAGTAACTGTACACCTCAAACCTAGATATCTATGCCTCACATGTTTTAATCTGTAATTAACGTGATAAAAGAGAGCAGACATACAAGCCCTCTTACCTTTGTTACTCCTTTGTCTTTTTTCTCCTTGCCATCTCTTTTAGACGTTTCCTTCTTGCTACTTGACTTTCCTTGACTGGTGGGTTTCTTTTCCTTGATCTCTTCTTCTTCAGGTGACCCAGGATCCTGGGGCACATAGACTTCTTGCTGTGACACAGTTGAAAACAGGTAAGTCTACAAAATGTTTCACTTCTCCAGCAATTCCAGGTCTAAGGAGAATAGTTTCCTTCTAGGGGAAGGAACAGCTCTTTTACTTACTAGCCTAAGAAGAGTTCACACCAGTTTAAAAACCCACTCCAGGGGCCAGGACACAATACAGACCACCCACTGCTCACTTTTCCAAAAGCAGCACTGTTCTTACCTGTAATGCTACAAGGCACTGATTTTCCATATAGGCAACAGTTCAGTTTCCATAGATTTAAACTTTTCCACTTTTCATGCAACGAGCATCCAGATAATCCAGGGAATAAAATTCTCAAAGTAACAAATTATGGGTGCTTTTCTCAAAAGGATGATAGATTAAAAAAAAAGCTCCAAACTCACCTGGGTATTGGGGTCATAATAAGTTCCTGCCAGGGGGTCATAATAGTAGCCAGTAGCAGAATCATATATGTAGCAGTCAGATGATGCTAAAGGGAATAAACCAAATCAATGTTAGTCCCTGTTCAATGAAGCCCTTACTGGGGACTCATCAAGAACCACCCAAGAATTAGAGTGATCAACTAAAACAGGTACAGAACCTGTAAATGGCACTCTCCCTGGATGAGCACCCCTCAAGTCAACATATCTTGCCAACTTTGTGACCACACATATTTCAAGGAATGAGTAGCAAGTCAAGCAAAAAAGAACACAAAGAAAACAAAGGTTACTTACACTGTTGTCCTTGTTGATTTGTATCTGAAGACCAGTCTGAATTTCTGCCACCTCCCCTCCTATCTCGGAAATATTTTTTACCCTATCACAGAAAGGCGAGTTAAAAGTATAGAACTATCCAAAAGCCAGTCACCTTCACCCATTGGAGGAAATTCAGGATCACTCTTTTAGTCACCTGAGAATTTTAGGAGAGCACTCCCCAGAATCATTTACTATTAGAGCCTACCTGATAGTAATGCATATGGTCAGAATGGTCCCCAGAATCATTTCTGCAACAAACAACACAACATGTAATGAGTCTGCTACCAAAAGGCACTTGGAGAGTACTTAATCTTATAGTTCATACAGAGAAACTCCCTTTCCTGTTTTTCAGGGAAAGAAACCAACCCAGACAACAAACTGGTGGTCCAGACATTCCTGAGGGGAGGAAAAGTAGGACTCCTAGAAAGCCATCTGTTGGAGTAAAACAGCAATTGAGTGGAGGGTACTAGAGCAAGATCTACCCCATAAGTCTGTTCCTCTGCTACAGTTACTTCCAAGTTATCATTCCTGAGTCAAGATAAGAAAAGGAGTAAAGAGGAATTAATAATGCTTTGGGGATATGAACACGGTTAGGGGAATGAGAAACCAAGACAGCATTTTCTTAGGATCTCAAGGGGCAATAATGTATTGAAATTTTCCTTCACATCCAAGACTGTATCATCATTAAAAGAGAGAGAGAGAGAGAGAGAGAGAGAGAGAGAGAGAGAGAGAGAGAGACAGAGAGAGAGAGAGAGAGAGAGAGAGAGTCTTGCTGTGTTGCCTAGGCTGAAATGCACTGGATATTCACAGGCATGATCACCACACACTATAGCCTTTAACACCTGGTCTCAAGCAATTCTCCCCCATTAGTGTCCAGGATAGCTGGGAATATAGGCCGCAGGCCATCTGGGACTCAAAGATACCAGGCAGTCAAAAGGGAAAACCCTAAAGCACCTAGTACTATCATTTAAGAAAAGAAAACAAAAAACAGGAGTTAGAACAAGGCAGGCTTCAGAAAAAGAAAATGTATAAGCACATATATGAAGTAGTCATCCTGGGAAGGTATCATGCCTTGCCATCTGTCTCTCCAGCCAGGGAAAGTTTTTTTCCCAACAACTCAAATAAGGGCAGCACAAGAGATCCTTACCCCTCTGCCTTACCTTCGTTTTCCAGTGGCCAGGTTTACAGCTACCATCTTCCCATCAATGCTAAATGGAGGGTCAAGGTTCTGCAAGATCTTCACTACACGAAGAGCTTCCTATGGAACCAAAGACACACTTGAATCCAAAGAGAGAAAAGGTCATGTCCTTTGAAAGAGAAACTTACTAAACATTATGTCCTGGTCATAATTTTAACAGCAAGAGCATACTGACAAAAACAAGAAACTTTTAATGAAGGACTGATTGAAATAGGGATCAGAATAGATGCCAGTTTCTGGTATAAATTTCAGAAATTCAAATTCCCTTGTTTTAGGCTGAAACTATCATCACATCAGATTCAGTTTACAAAGTCCCTTGTGACTTTTGAGCATGAAATCTAAGAAATAACAATGACTTTAATTACTATCTTTGTATTATTTCCATAGAAAAAGGCTCCAAGCTAAAAATTCAAGGCACAAGAATCTATTAAATACTTGGAAAAAAGAGAAGAAATGCTATGTAATCATCAAATACAAAACCATCCATGGCTGGGCAAAATAAGTCAGAAAGTTCACTAAAATCTTGAAGAATTTAGTACTTAAGTTCTTCATAAGTGAATAAGCTGCAAACTGGAAATGCTGCAAGACAAAAATAAAACTGGAAAACCATACAGTCCTAACTTTTAAGAACAGTCACCTCAGCCGGGCTCGGTGGCTCAGCCTGTAATCCCGCGCCTTTGGGAAGCTGAGGTGAGTGGATTGACTGAGCCCGTGGGTTCAAGACCCACCTGGGCAGCAAGACCTCATCTCTACAATAAATAAAAAAATCACCCGGGCGTGGTAGCACACGCCTGTAGTTCTGGCTACTCGGAAGGCTGAGGTGGAAGGATCACCGGAGCCCAGCAGGCGAGGCTGCGGTGGCCGGGAGCGGCCACTGCACTCCAGTCTAGGTGACAGAGTGAGACTCCAACTCAAAAGAAAAAAAAAGAACAGTTACCTCAACTGAACAAACATTAAACCCAGAGGAAAGAACACAAAAATTATAATACCAAGTAGTACATAAGACTTCAAATGATAAAGAAGTCCTTCAAACTTTCTAGAGGGTTCTTTAGCCGTCCTTAGACCATTCCAAGATGGAGGAAACTTACCGCATGGGAGTCAAGGTCAATAAAGCCATAAGTGTGGCCCATAGGACCTGTTCTATTCTTGATGATTCGGACGTTGGCAGTAGTAAGGCGGACATAGGGCTCGAGCACTTCCACTATCACCTCAGGTGGAGTGGAACGATAGATGCGTTTTAGCATGATTGCTGAACAAATCAAATATAAATGGAGAGGAACAAGGAAAGAGAGAGAAAGATGAATTTTTGAATTCCCAAGAGTCTGATTGCCGTTTTTTAACTGTAAATGATACTCTGCTCTAGCAATGCAACAGAACAAGATTTCATCTCCCACCCAAAAAAAAAAAAAAAAAAAAAAAAGCTAGACAATACTGACATTGCATATTTTTCTTTACCAAACTTACAAATCTATGGCCGGAGCAGTGGCTCACGCCTATAAGCCCAGCGCTTTTGGAGGCCAAGGTGAGAGGAATGCCTGAGCCCATGGGTTAGAGAACAGCCTGGGCAACTTAGTAAGACCTCATCTCTACAATAAATAAAAAAAAAAATTAGCTGGGCATGGTGGAATGCGCCTGTAATTCCAGCTACTTGGAAGGCTGAGGCAGAAGGATTGCCTGAGCCCAGCAGGTCAAGGCCGTGGGGGCCATGAGCATCACTGCACTCCAGCCTGGGCGACAGAGTAAGACTCTGACTCAAAAAAAAAAAAAAAAAACAAAAGAAATCTAAAATCATGCCTTACTGCATTTGTACAGCAATTTGTTATTTGAAGGATGTAGATTCCTTCGACTAGTAAAGTAAGACCCATAAAAAGCAATGGCCGGTCGGGCATGGTGGCTCATGCCTATAATCCCAGCACTTTGGGAGGCCATGGTGAGGGGATTGCCTGAGCCCATGGGTTCGAGACCAGCCTGGGCAACTTGGTGAGACCTCATCTCTACAAAAAATTAGCCAGGTATGGTGGTGCATGCCTGTAGTTCCAGCTACCTGGAAGGCTGAGGTGGAACAATCACCTGAGCCCAGCAGGCCGAGGCTGCAGTAGCCGTGAGTGTGCTACTGCACTCCAGCCTGGGTGATAGAGTGAGAATCCAACTAAAAAAAAAAAGAAAAAAAAGAAAGAAAGCAATGGCCTTTGAAATCAGGCAGTGCATAGTTCTACTAGGTTGTGGGGAAGCAGATTGCTCCTGGCCACAACATGGGTCATCTATGCTCACAGTCTGGTACATGCCCTAACAAACTACTTACTTTTGCTCTCCACATCCTGGCGTGTCTCTCCAGACCATGGCTCCTTCTCTCGGTCTCTTCGGAAAGAGAGCCCTTCTCTTCGATATCTTTCTGCTTCTCTTTTTTGATGCCCCAAGTGTGGTTCTTGTCCTTCTTCCCTCTTCCTGGGTTCAGGTTCCTTATCAGTTGGTCTTGGGGACTGGTTGGATTGTTTTTCCAATGGTGCTGGTAAAGATGTTTTCTGAGGCTGAGGATAGGTTATTAATTCTTGCTTGGCCTCAATAACTAGGGGAACAGAAATAGAAGGCTTTATCAAAAAAACACTATTACTGTGATTCCTCCTTATCTTCCACCAAATACTCACACTGGAATGCTTTTTTCTAAGTTGTACTTCAGTCTTGTCCAGGCTGAAGTACAGTGGCACGATCACGGCTTACTGCAGCCTCACCCTCCTGGGTTCAGGTAATCCTCCTGCCTCAGCCTTGAACTACAGGCGTGCATCACTATACCCAGCTAATTTTTTTCTTATAGAGATGAGGTCTCGCTATGTTGCCCAGGCTAGTCTTGAACTCCAGGGCTTAAGCAATCTCCTGCTTCAGCCTCCCAAAGTGCTGGGATTACAGGTGTGAGCCACCACACCTGGCTTGCAATGCTTTTAATATTGTCTCAAAAATACCTATTAAAAAGTCCTTTGACTGTGGCAAAAGACTTTAATAGCAAGACTAATGATATAACACATGAAATAGTTCACAGAAGAAATGATCTAAGCATTTAAAAAATGTAATCTTATGAAGTTTCTATCACTTACCAAACATTTAAATAGAACAAATTTGTCATGACACGCTGGACTTCACTATTATAACCAATGATAAGAAGACATTTAGGGGCAAAATTACCAAGATATGGCTCTTGCTAGAGGTTTGGTAGAAACACATCCCAAACACATGTCTAGAAGCCTTGCTTCTTCCAGTGTTATAGTACTAAAATAGTTGCTCAAATTCTATACGATAACAGGTCCTTATTCTCCAGTGAAGCTAGGAATAAACCTACGTACATATAGCTCATTTATATGCAAATAATCATAATGGGTAGATGTCCTTCAAAATATATAAATGATTTATTTCAAATCTCCTTCCAGCAGGATAATTTGTCTTTATAATTTGTTTTGTAATTAGGGGTATATTTTTGTAATTAATTCAAGAGAGAGCTGGAAACCATGCTTTTCAAAAAGAGATTCTATAAGAGTAACAGAGATTCGATAACAGTGATGGGTTTCCTGATTAAGTTTTTTAATCTTGGTGGTATGGTACCCAAGGGTTTTCATAAACCATCTTTTCATTTGCTGGAATAGCTTGAGAAATAAGTCTTTCTTGAGAGAAAAAACACAACTTTGCCTAACCTGAAATGACCCATTAAGCAAAAATCTCAGTTGCTGACTCTCCTTTCTCATGTTGGTTTGACCTTTACAGCATATAGAGTGTTCGCCCAAAGATTTTGAGAACACCTGCCTTACAGTCCTCACTACAGAGTAAAATCTCCACTACGGGTCAAAAGCCCAGCTCAGAAACTTTTTGTAGGAACACCAAATTCTAACCCTGGGACAAATAGGTTACCTGAATCCCTGCACTAAACTATATTTTACAGTCACACCCTAACTTTCCTTAAGGGAAAACATAAAAAACAGACATATAACCGTCATTGCTAAAGGACTGTTATTATGGACACCTTTGCTAGACTCTTCAAGGTTGTCTGCCTAAAGTTTCTCTAAAGAAATTTACTTTAGGCCAGGCATGGTGGCTCATGTCAGTAATCTCACACTTTGGGAGGCCGAGGCAAGAGGATCACCTGAACCCAAAATTCGAGACCAGCCTAGGCAATATAGTGAGACCTCATCTCTATAAAATAAAAAATAAAAAAATTAGCTAGGTATGGTAGCATACCCCTGTAGCCTCAGTCATATGGCAGGCTGAAGAGGGAGGATTGCTTGAGTTCAGGAGTTTGAGGCTACGGTAAGCCATGATTGTGCCACTACACTCCAGTCTGGGTGACAGAGTGAAACTGACATAAAAAATATTTCTTTTTTACATTAAAGTTAAGTGTTTGAGAAGCTGGTAAGTTTACTCCTCTAAAGTAGTGATCCCTAACCACTTTGGTATCAGGGACTGGTTTCATGGAACACAATTTTTCCACGTTCAATTGCATAACATTTACTGTACACTTTATTTCTATTATTATTACATTGTATATAGAATGAAATAATTATTCAACTCACCATAAAAAAAGAGGCAGGGACAGAAATGGTAAATAAAATAATGGGTGGGCCACACACAGACTAAAATAAGTGTTGGATTCTAACTTAAAGCCTGCTACCAGATGCAGCTGTACAATTGAAGTACATTAACTCACTTGCTACTCACTGATAGGGTTTTTATATGAGCCTGCAAGCAACTGATTATAGTCTTTGTGCAGTCAAACCTCATTGCTATTATTTTTAATCTGTATTTGCAGTCGCTCCCCAGTGCTAGCATCACTGCCTCAGCTCAACTTCTGATCAACAAGCATTAGATTCTCATAAGGAACACACAATCTAGATCCCTCACATGCGCAGTTCAAAATAGGGTTCGTGCTCCTATGAGAATCTAATGCTGCTGCTGATTTGACAGAAAGCAGAGCTCAGGCAAGTAATGCAAGTGATAGAAGCAGCTGTAAACACAGATGAAACTTCACTTACTTGCCTGCCCGCTGCTCACCTCATGCTGGTACCAGTTCGTGGACCAGGGGTTAAGAATCCCTGCTCAGCCGGGCTTGGTGGCTCAGCCTGAAATCCCGTGCCTTTGGGAGCCTGAGGTGAGTGATTGCCTGAGCCCGCGGATTCGTGACCCGCCTGGGCAACTTGGCGAGACCTCATCTCTACAATAAAAAAAAATCAAAAATCAGCCAGGCGTGGTAGCGCATGCCTGTAGTTCCAGCTACTTGGAAGGCTGAAGTGGAAGGATTGCCGGAGCCCAGCAGGTCGAGGCTGCGGTGGCCAGGAGCGGCCACTGCATTCCAGTCTGGGTGAGAGTGAGACTCCAACTCAAAAAAAAAAAAAAGAAAAGAAAAAAAAAGAATCCCTGCTCTAAAGTAATTCATATTCCATAGTCCTGTTTATTTTCTCTTATTTGTACTTTTGTTTTGGTTTTTGTTTTTGATTTGGGGGTCTCACTCTGTTGCTCAGGTTGGACTATAGTGTCAACACCATGACATATCATAGCCTTGACCTTCTGGGCTCCTTTTATTTATATTTTTTATTGTTATTTTAACAAATGTACTTCTGATAAAAATACTGAAATGCTTACTAAGAGGGTAAACAAGAAAAAAAATTATTCCCAACAGCTTCGAAGAAGGGGGGTGGGGAGGGAAGTTTGTCACATAGACTGATGCCATTAGACTCTTTTTCAACCTTGTCAAATGTATTCTAACTATACTATTGGCCTCTAGTCAGCTGCCCACTTTGCCACTTCTGCTTTTGCCACAACCCCATCTCTTTCTTCTGGTGCAACTCTGAGATCTGAAATCATTTATTAACAGGTCACATGAAGACATCAATTGTACTTTTAGAAGGTTTACAGATCAGGTCGAGAATGGTGATTCACACCTGTAATCCCAGAACTTTTTTTTTTTTTTTTGAGTTGGGGTCTCACTCTGTCACCCAGACTGGAGTGCAGTAGCCACTCCTGGCCACTGCAGCCTCGACCTGCTGGGCTCTGGCGATCCTTCCACCTCAGCCTTTCAAGTAGCTGGAACTACAGGTGCGTGGGCTCCCAAAGCGTGGGATTACAGGCTGAGCCACCGAGCCTGGCATAATCCCAGAACTTTAGGAGGTTGAGGAAGGGGGATTACTTGAGTATAGGAGATTGCAACCGGCCTAGGCAATAGAGAGAGACCTTGTCTCTACAGAAAATAAAAAAGCTATTTGGGCATGGCGGCACGTGCCTGTAGTCCCAGCAATTTAGGAGGCTGAGACAGAAGGATTGTCTGAGTTCAGGAGGCTAAGTTTACGGTGAGCCACAAGCATGCCACTGCACTCTAGCCTGGGTGACAGAGACCCCAACTCAAAAAAAGAAAAAAAAAAAAGAAAAGAAAGTTTATAGATCAACTTATATTTAGGGATGACTTTTTTTTTTTTTTTTAGGGTGAGAAAGAAGGAATTTCTTAAGAAAACAGGATAGCTCTCGGTTGCGGGAGGGGTCCTAAAGGGTTGCCCAACAATTCTTTAAAGTCAAAGAAAGCACGAAATTTATTTTGCTTGATGCACAAAATAGAAACCTTTACCACTTCCAACACTTACCTTCTCTTGAGCACTTGCAGAATGAACATGAAGATCGGTGCCCACCAGTGCTGGCCTTACACTGCAAGGAACAAGTAAAGAATTCAATTTGACTGAAAACATTTTTAAAAACTTATGCACACTCAACAGAGTAATACCCACCAAAAATTTTAAAAAACCACATCCCAGATCTCCTCAGAGCCTAAATAAAGAATCTGATATCCCGACTCATCAGAGCTGATAGACAGGATCTGATCGTCTACTGTTTTGAGAGCTACCTTCTTCTTCTTCTTTTTTTTTTGAGAGCTACCTTCTAACAAGGATTCTAGGATATTAGTGCAACCCTAAATGTTTTTGCCCTGGATAAGGATTTCTATTGGAAATAAACAACTAAGAAAACAAGACTGTTAAGTGGCTTATACGATACTATTGTTCCAAAACCATTTACATACAGTCTGCAACCAAAACTTGGTTCTGGAGTGGTTATGAGACCCCCATTCACACTTGGCTGAAACTGTGAATTCAATTATCAACTCCTTTCTCAAACACCAATAATGAGGTGCAAGAAGGAGGAGGAAGATATATAAGTAGTGCTACTAGTAGTTATCTAAAGAATGTTGAAAGGGAACATTCACTAGCCTAGAACAAGAGAAAAGACACTTTGCAATGTAAAGATAACTTCTCATAATATTTCTTATCTGTAATTTTTTTTTTGAGGATAAGTGTCACTTCGTCACCCAGGCTGGAGTGCAGTGCCATGCTCACAGCCACCCCAGAGTGAACTGCTGGGCTCAGGCAATCCTTCCGCCTCAGCCTTCCAAGTAGCTGGAACTACAGGCATGTGCTACCGCGGCCAACTAATTTTTAAAAAAATTTTTTGTAGAGATGAGGTCTTGCCAAATTGCCCGGGTTGGTCTCGAACCCGCGGGCTCAGGCAATCCACTCGCCTCGGCCTCCCAAAATGCTGGGATTACAGGCTGAGCCACCAAGTTCGGCAGTTTTTCTCATCTGAACATGTAAACAAAAAGAACACTGTCCAACCTCAGAGCCCTTGATCTGATCTTTCTTCATTGAGCATCCAAGTGCCATGAGGGACAAAATTAATTGGCAGGTATTCAAAAAGCAAAAACCATAAAGAGAATATTAAATAGGACCTTGTAGGATATGAAAGAATGTGTCAGATAGAAGTGAGAGGAGAATAATAATAACAGCAGCAGCAGTGGCTAATGCTTAAATAACACATACTATGCATCAGGTCTACTTCACGTCATCATTTATTGATCCTGAGAACCCCAATAAACTCCATGATATGAGCACTCTTTTTTTTAATCTTCTCATCCCCCCGAATGCTCCCTGCGTCCTGTTGTTGGCTCTCCGCCCTCCAGCACTCTTTTTTTTTTTTTTGAGTCGGAGTCTCACTCTGTTGCCTAGGCTGGAGTGGATTGCAGTAGCATGCTGATGGCCACTGCAAGCCTTGACCTGCCAGGCTCAAGTGATCCTTCCGCCTCAGTCTTCCAAGTAGCTGGAACCACAGGCATGCACCACAATGCCTAGCTAATTTTTTAAAAATTTATTGTAGGGACAAGGTCTTGTCAAGTTGCCCAGGCTGGTCTCAAACACCTGGGCTCAGGCAATCCTCTTGCCTACACCTACCAAAGCACTGGGATTACAGGCATGAGCCACAGTGCCTGGTAATATGGGCACTCTTACTCTCCATTTTATAGATGACAAAACCAAGGACTAGAACGGTTAAATAACATGAGTAAGATCACTATACTCAATTAATTCATTCTTCCCTCTCCTATAAGAAGAACACACACACACACAACCCTGTCCACTGTCAAGTGACTATGGTACCTCTATATAGAGTAAGTGCAATTCCTCTCTTCATTGTCAACCTTGGCCATGTGTCTTGCTTTGGCCAACAAGGTGTGAGCGAACATGACCTACACCGGACCTAGCAGAAACTTTAGGAGCTGTTGCTTGTTGAATGAGCCTCTTGTTCTTTCTCTTAGCTAGGAGAACAAAATTACATACTGGAACTATTCCTTCAGCTTGGGTCCTAGTGAAATGAATGAAATATGAAGAATCTAATCTGAAAAACCTATAATAACCTGTAATAGCTAGCTTGACATCAGTAACTCCATCTTGTAACAGATCTTCCATGTTAAACTGGGAATAACCCCCTTATGTAACCTTCCCGTAATCATCCTGCACACCCACATTCTTGTACCTTTTGGTGATTGAAAACTCCCTAGTTGTGTAAATTCTGTAATCATCTGTATCCTTTACTAATCAAATGTATTGCCAAGAATTATCGATCAAACTGTACAGCTTATGTAATTTATGCCTTTAAATTTGCACTACTCACTCTTGTTTGCGGCTGAGTTATTTGGGACACTAGTCTGCTCTCGGTCACCGGTGTCAATAAAGGACTCATAATCTGACCTTCTCTGAGTGTTAGCATCACTTCTCGCAATCCAGCTATAATATTTGGAGGCCCCAGCAAGATTGTGTCGCGAACCTCGGGAGGGGATATCGCTCCAGCTCTCCCTGGTTCTGTGAAGGAGTTATAGGGGAGGCGCCCACTGCCTCTCTCATCTGTCTCGGAGGGAGAGGGAGCGACTGCTGATTAACTCCCATCTCAAAAATTCCTGAGTTCATCTGTGTTCTCCTAGGAGGTAAGAATCTGTTTAATCTGTATGTGGCCACAACTCTTAAAGAGGACAGAGCCTGATGAGGTTGCTCCTTAGACTCTGTTCGTTGACCCAAGACGTTGGTAGAACAGTGTCTAGGTTTAGTATCTGGTTTCTTTTTTTTTTTTTTGAGTTGGAGTCTCACTCTGTTGCCCAGACTGGAGTGCAGTGGCCACTCCTGGCCACCGCAGCCCTTGACTGCTGGGCTCTGGCGATCCTTCCGCCTCAGTCTTCCAAGTAGCTGGATTACAGGCATGCGCTACCATGCCCGGCTGATTTTTTGATTTTTATTGTAGAGATGAGGTCTCATCAAGTTGCCCAGGCGGGTCTCAAACCCACGGGTAGTATCTGGTTTCTGTTTGCAGTGTCTCGGTTTAGTATTTGGTTTCTGTTTGGGTACCCGCTTTGACTTCTGATTGCTTGTAACGATGGTCCCTTTCCATTCTTTGTGTCTTTGCTACAGGGCTAGATTCTGCTATACCTCGAGATTGATATTTAGGCTATACATTTTTATTAGCCTTTACTTATCTCTTTGTAATTGGAAGTCTGCTTCTCATCAGGTGCCTCCTGTGATTTACTGGTTTTTAACAGTGTGGGGTCTAAGGCTCCCAAGCCTACAAATCGCCTGGACTGTATGTTAAGAAACTTCTCTGTCAGGTTTGCAGAGAATTACGGAGTACACCTCTCAAAGGGTAAGCTCCGGACTCTTTGCGAAATCAATTGGTAATGTTAAACGGCCCTCTACAGGGTCTCTGGATATTCATGTTACTAGGGTTAAATCTGTTTTGTTTGTTCTGTTTATGGCCTAATTCTGTTTTCTGGTTTCAGAGCTCTAATTTTAACATTTTTTGGTTTTCTCTAAGTTTGTTTTTGTCTTCCTTTCTCCCTTTTCCATTGGTATTGCTTATACAGTTCAGCCAGTTCCAACTAAAAATGTAAACATCATTTAAACCTGCATAGTTATTATTAAACTGCCTATTGGGACAAAGTTTAGCCATGCCAGCTGGTTCCAATTTTATCAGAAATATAATTTGAATATCTTTTAAAAAATTAATAAATTTATTACTGTTTCATAACAAATTTAAGAGTAAAGGTTTTAAAATCTAGATTTGTTTAATTATGTTTGCATGTATACATGTTATATGTTTTGTCCAGCATGCTACCAAATTGACTCTCAAGTAAATAAGTACTCATAGAACGCACATAATTTTAATAATTAATAATAATATAAAAATATATCTTTAAAACTGTCAACATACATTTCATCAAACATTATAAAATTACAAGCCTAGTCAAGATCAGGATAATCTCTACTTATATAAGTGCTCTGCTATAAGTATAACTAATTTAAAATTGTTGGTTTCAAACCACCAAACCTTCTGAATTATCAGTAAAATGCTAAAAATGAATTGGCCAGGAAATAGTTTTCATAAGTAATTAAGCAACCGGCTATAAATTAAAAAATATATGAATATGAATAAAACAATGTTTATGGGTAAACTCTCCATGTAATTTAAAAAATCTCAAAATTATTTCAAAAGTCCATTAAGTCAAGACCTCATCTCTACAATAAATAAAAAAATCAACCGGGCGTGGTAGCGCATGCCTGTAATTCCGGCTATTCGGAAGGCTGAGGCAGAAGGATCGCCG